GGCTCAAGAATGTGGCAGCGTGGAAGCTTCCAGTGCTAATATGGCTTCTAAAGCTGACACAGGGGTTTTCACTTTTCCAGGTATTGGAACCTATTAGTTAAAAAGGGGGAAAATCAAAAACTTCTGATCATGAGGCAAAACTCCGGTAGTAGAAATAGGGCTGCATTTGAGTGATTATTTTTCTCTCTCTCTCTCTTTCTCCTTAATCTCTAATTCAACCCCCGAAGCTCTCACACAGCATAACTTGAAAAACCCTGCTGAAGACTGCTCAAGAGGAATATCTAGGAAATGAGAATAGGGTTTCTACACATCTATAACTCTTTAAAATACATCAGAAAAAAATAGTTGTTTATTTATTTATTAAACTTATAAAAGTACTCAGGCATTTAAGGACACAGGGGAAAAAGTGTTCAGAAGATTCCTGATTTATATTCAAGAATGCATTCAAAAAGCAGCAATTAAAACTATGATGAGCCACTTGACCAATTCTGCGCCTCCATAAAACCTTTGTTAATTGACGAAAACATTAAATATGAACTTCATTAAATAGATAAAGTATGATTTTTATGGCAAGTATTGATACACAAATCCAACAAGAGTAGTTTTTTTTATCAATGAAAAGGCTTTGTTGTGGTTTAACTTTTATCCCCAAACATCAGTTAGAAAATGGGAGGGAGGGGGAATTTCTTTTCAATTAAAATTCCAGTGTTACTAGAAGTTTTTTTTCCCCTTTTTTCCCTGAAGATCAAGACAGGGGAAAATAAATTGCTTCTCTACACTTACTGAATCCCCAGCATTCTGAATTTACATAATGAAAAATTATACTTTAAATTCAAAAAGGTATTTCCAGCTTGGTCTAAGATTCGGACTTGTACAGAAATTATATAAATTCCAGGGTTCACACATACATAATTTAAAAATTAGCTGATTTTTAAGGCATCATAACAGCCATTGCACCACCACCCCACCTGAAGAAGTCCACTACAGCTGATTTCTAGAAACCAGGTATGCAAGTTTCTGAATTCTCCAAAACTTTGCAGAAAGAGTTTTGAGAAGTGTAGATATTACGCACCTATTTTTCTTTTTTCTCCTATGGACCATCATGGGTTTAAGGAAGCCTAATTTAGACACATTATAAATATTCTAATTATATTATGATGGTTGCTGAGGAACCAACTTTCCTTCAGCTGAATGCTTGCTGATAGCTGGGGAGGGCAACTGAGGTTTTCTTGACCAGCTAGAATGTAGCTGAAATAAAATACTGCCCTAAAATGGTTGGCTTGGGAGAAGTCTTGCCAAGAGAGAAATAAGATGGCTTAAATGTGGCAATGAAATATGCCAATGAAATCCAGCAGGGGCCAAAGACGCATTGAAGCATTCTTAGATTAAAAGAAGCATGGAACCAACAAGGAAGTTGAGGTTTCATAGGAAGGAAAAGGGAACTTTTGTTGAAAACTTTATGCAAGAAAGTTTTGTAAAAACAGAAAAATGTCAGTGCCATGTCTATTAAAGAATTTCCTTCAAAGATTTTTGAAACTGCTTTCCTAGGACACTTTTTGGGTCACAGAAGAGAGGATAACCAGACAGAATTTTCAGCTTTTTATATAGTGGTATATACCATATTTTGCTCCATAAGATGCACTTTTCTCACCCACAAAAAGTGGGTGGAAATGTCTGTTCATCTTATGGAGTGAAAATACAGGCTGCAGCAGCAGGGTCCTTTTACAATGCTGAACCTGGCCTCTTCTGTCTTTGTCACTGCCTGTTTTTCTTTTCTAAACCTAGGTGCATCTTATAGTGCGAAAAATGCGGTATATGAAATTTAGGTGCTGCCCAAATTCGTAAGGTCTGAAAAAAAGGACATTTTTAAAATTTGTATTTGTATTCTGTCTTTATTATTTGTACAAATAACTCAAAGCGGAGAATGTATCCAACACACCTTTCTCCTCCTATTTTCCTCACAGCAAACAACTTTATGAGGTAAATTGAGCTGAGGGAGAGTTACTGGCCCAAGATCACCCAGCTGACTTTCATAACTAAGACAGGACTTGATCTCAAATCTAATCCTAACAATCCTTGTATCGAGGGTCATATGTGACAAGAAGTGTGTGTTGGGAGAGGGGAATCATTTCAGCTTTCAGAGAATATCCAAGAGAGTTGTGGAGGTTAAAGGCAAGGAAGTGCAGGGAGAGAAATCACTTCTTCGCCTCCAGGAAAAAAAAGGGATTGAAGTTATAGCATCCACATTCGAACATATTTACTCAACATTTTTAATCAAATGTCAGCCATACAGTTTTAGCCCACTTTGAAGAACAGGATTGATGATAGGCTTAAATGGGGGAGAGATCATAATCTTCTGCACTGACTTTTTATTTTGGCAGAATGAAGGCACAACGGCAGAGGAATAGGTGGGGGGGGGGAGAGACTGGTAATGCATTGTCATAATTTGGAGGTGCAAATTCAGAGGGGAATGTTGCAAAAGAAGCAATGAAAAGGCTTGACATGGAAAGAGTTGGAAAGCCTGCTGTCTCGACTGCTGTTACATCAAGGTAAATAATATAGGACCAGAATGGGTTGATGATCTGATTTACCCCACTGCAAAGAGCCTCACCAAACTTCCCTCAATTTCTTTAGAGAATAGTGTACAGAGAAAAGCATCAAAGATGATGAGGGGACTGGAGGCTAAAACATATAAAGAACGGTTGCTGGAATTGGGTATGTCTAGTTGGATGAAAAGAAGGACTAGGGTGACATGATAGCAGTGTTCCGATATTTCAGTGGCTCCCACAAAGAAGAAGAGGTCACCTATTTTCCAAAGCACCTGAGGTCAGGACAAGAAGCAATGGATGGAAACTAATCAAAGAGAAAAGCAACTCAGAACTAAGGAGAAATTTCCTGAAAGTTAGAAAAATTAAATCAATGGAACAACTTTCTTCCAGAAGTTGTTGGTGCTCCAACGCTGGAAGTTTTTAAGAAGAGATTGACAACAATCTGTCTGAAATGGTATAGGATTTCCTGCCTGAGCAGAGGGTTGGACTAGAAGACCTCCAAGGTCCCTTCCAACTCTGTTGTTCATTAACCCATTTTGCATACTGAGGTGAAAGTTAGCTTCTTCGCATCCACTGAACCTCCAGACACATCATTCAGCTTGTCAATGAGCCTCCCCCTTGACTTTGAGGAAAAATATGGCCACTCCACCAATCTTGTTCGTTTCGTCCAAAAACAAACTCATCTTCACTGATCTCAGAAAAGAAAAGCGGATAGCTTTTGCAGCACCGAAGCTCGCTGCCCAGCTTTTCAGATGTGTTGGAACTACAATACCCATAATCCCCAGACAACCCATGTAGGACTCTGGGAAGTGTAGTTCCCCAACATATTGAAGCACTTAGATTGGGAGGGTTGGCAGAGATCATAGTCCATGCTGCAGTATCTTGCAAGCAGCTGCTGGATGGGTTTGCACTTAGGTCATGCAAAAAAGAAGAGAAAGCTTACTTCTCTTAGCAACCTACAATTCCAAAAACAGACCAGAGATGGGCACTTGTAGCAATGGTAGGATAACTTGAAGGCTCAGGGAGCAATTCTATCTACAGAAGACCAAAGGGTTTAATTCTATTCTTCTCCAGTTAAAAAGGGTTTAGTAGCTGGGAAACATCTTAGTTTATGAAATGCTGCCTCAAATGCCAGGGTCAGGATTATCTTTTTTCTGCATCATTCTTAAATATTAGTATTTGGTATGTACTTCTATCTAAGCACCACACAATATCTATGTTTCCCCATAACAACCCTGTGGGGAAGGATGGGCCAAGAGAAGATCCTGGCCCAAAGTTATGCAGGGAGTTTCTATGGATCCACTTCTAGACCAACTCCTTTAACCACAATGGCATTTCAAAGTTTCTTCTGGGTTTTGAGTCAGCAACCTTCAATTTATTTACAAGGCAAGTGTTAAAACCATCTTGCTACCCACATTTGCTACCTGCATATTCTTCTCATTCAATGTCCTGACTCACTCTCTGCTAGAGGAGGTCTGTTCACCTCTTCCATTTTCTCTTAATTCTGTAAATCTTCTAAACAAACAAACAAACAATTAAATAAATAAATCTCTCATGAGCCCTGACCTCTCAGGCTTCTCAATTCACATTTTGCACTAAGTCATACTTGGCTTTGTTATGGTTTCCCAAGTCAACAGCAGTGAGTTGGGTAAAGTCCCAAAGGGTGGTTTTTAAAGAACAAGGATTAGATTCACACAATTCATTAAGCCCATGAGACTGAATAGTGGCTTAACCCCAGCATCCCTCCAATCCATTATCGAAAAGGGAACCTCCGTGGACAGAGACAGTGTATCTTTAAACGTGAGGCACAGGGGAGACCCACGATCGTCTCTGTCTGCTTCCAGAACACATTCGGCCGGCTACCATGGCCGTGACCTGCTAAGTCCTGTTTAAACGGCCCTTGAACTGTCTCGAGGTGACCTAGAAAGGGACCCCTCTGCCCAAATTCACGAGGCCAGACTTAACAAGCGAACCGGCTCGGAGATGCGATGCGACTGAGAACAGAAACCGGCGTTAAAGGTCAATTTCTCTCCGAATGCCAAAGAGCGGCAGCTTCCTGCCTCCTTTCCCCCCCGCTCCAGCCCTCGCGTGCCCGTGGGATTTCTGTTGCCGGCCGGCCGGCCACCGTGGGAAAAGTGATGCTGCCTGACCCTGGGTTGTTCGACACGGATCGGCAAGCCTCTTCTTTTTTAAAAAAACAAATTTGGGGGCGATCCGTTTCCTTTTCCCGCCTAAGCCGGTTGAGCTCCATGCACCACGCGTGCCGACCCAACCGGCAACCGTTGAGGGCGACCACGACCACCACCGGCGCCCGACTAACCCCCCACACCGCCGGCACTGTCCGAAGCGACCCTCCCTCCCTCCCCCCTTGGCTCCGCCAGCCCCCCCTGGCTGTTCCACGCAGGGCGGCGAGCTTGGGGCGCATATAGGCAGGGTTGGGAGCCCCCTTACCGTTGGCGCCGTACTTCTCCCGCTGCCGTCGGACCTGCTCGGCGCTGAGCCCGCAACTCTCCCGCACCCCGAAACGCCGCAGGACTTCTTCGGCGGTCTGGCTGTGCGCGCTCTCCATCGTGCCTTCTCCCGGAGCGGCTGGAAGCGCTCCTCGGCGCTCCCTTCCCTGCCTTGTGCTGGCGTCGGACCGAACTCCCGAGAGGCGGAAGCCTTTGCTGCGCTCGCTTGACGGAACGACTCGCACACCCAGCCCGAGCCGGACGTCCCTCGCCAGCAAAGGTTGCAAAAAAAGGGGGGGCGGCGGGGGGCGAAGCTCCTCGACGGCGCTGCGCCTCCCGCGCTCGGAGCTCCCTTTCGCCGCTCGAGCGGAGCGTCTCCGCTCCCCACCGGATCCGCCGACGCGCGGAAAAAGGCTGCGCTTTACGGAGGGGGGCAGCCGTGCTGTTGTGCCGCGGCCGTCCCTTTTCCTTTGGGGAGCCGCCTGCTATCGCCCGCTTTGCAAATCGGGGAGAGACTCAAACCCGGCGCGCCGGGCCGCAGAGACGGACCATCCCCGGGTTTCTTACTGCGGCCATGCCTCGCCTTTGCAAAGTTACTTTCTCCTCGGCTGCTGCTGCAGCAGAACTGCCTGACAACGCGCCCCTCCCACCACTTCCTTCGCTCGGCTCTCTGCCTTCTCGCCTTCCACCGCCAGGCTCGCCAAAGATCTTCGCCGGGTCCCGCCTTGATCGACAACCTCGATGGCCTTCGACGGAACGCGTTGCGTCTTTATTAATGACCCCCGCACTGAAAGGGCTGAAGCGGGATCGCCGTGCGGCTACTCCCTCTCCGGCCTTCCCCATTCACAAGCTACCTGCCTTCCTCTGATTGGTTCCCTGACGCCCTTGATACCTTCCTGCCCTGCTGCCATTGGCCAAAGCGGGAGTTCTTATTTGTTATATGGTCTTTTTTTTTTTCCCCCTTTTCGGACCGAACCGGGAACATGTTTGCTTTTGAACGTTCACTTTTTTGGTTGTTGTTTATAATGCCCGCTCACCTGGACCTTTATTTCGGGGTGTGTGTGGGGGGGGGAGGAATCTCCAGTCGTTGCAGCAAGGGAGAGTAACGTTGGTGCGATCTGGAGAATTTCGGGTAACACAACACATTTTGTTCCCTTGGATCTGGACCAAAGGGGCATTTTTTTCCCCCTGGACAAAACGAACTCTTTGCGGATGTGTGTGTGTATGCTTATCTGTATCTCAAGTATTTCTGCACTACATCTGCTTTCTAGTGGGGGTGCAGGTGATTGTATGTTGTCTTGTAAAATAGTCTCATTCCAAGTAATTAACTAGCACAGAACAGAAGCAAAGTAAAAAAGATTCATATGAAAAGAAAGATAACTTGAAGGTAGAATGGAATAAAACCGCGGGGGTAAAACTGGGCTTTGATTCATCTTATAGTTTTATGGCCACATTGTGCCAAAACTGAATGGCCCTGTGCTTGTTGTTAGCATGGAATCCAGCATTTGTCCCAAATACAGATTAATCTGGGATATTAATCTACACTTCTCTGTGTTACTAAAAATGTATTATGTAAAAGCCTTAATTAGCTAACCTGTTATGGCCCTATCTGGGGACATTGGTGCCATATCAAGACTCTGATTTGAAATGTAAACAGTTGTGTGAATGTGCAACTAATAGAAGGAGGAAGGATGTAAAATATACAAATAAAGTGACCTGATCCTATAGAATGGAGTTGATGAATGTATGGAGAGGCAAAGTTTTCTAATGAATGAAAAGGCTAAAATGTATCCTAGAAAACTGCAGTGCATCTAGTTTGTTATGGCTGGGTGTGAAAATAGTTGCATTTTAATAACGAATAGTCACAATGAAGGAACTAGAGGTTTGTTTAGGGAAAAGTGTACAACATTGTGAACAAAAGTAATAAGAAGTGGCATTAGGAAACAAAAGTCCACTAAGTAACAAGAAGGGACAGAGAAGAACAAGGAAAAGGTCAGACTATTCAAAGACCCTATAATTAATGAGAATTATAGTGGTACCTGGATACTCAACTACTTTGAAACTCATTGAATTTGGTACTCAATACATTTTGATGCGAAAATTTTGTCCTGGCACTCATTGTTTGTTTGGTAATCAAACTAGAACTTGTCAGTGTCGTTGGCCTTGTGACTCAATATGTAATTCCCCGTGGGAAAAATGTATTTGGTACTCATTGTTTTTGGTACTAGTTGCACCCCCCATAACCAATTAACAATGAGTACCGAGCGAGCAGTGGTGGGATTCAATTTTTTTTACTACTGGTTCTGTGGGCGTGGCTTGGTGGGCATGGTGTGGCTTGGTGGGTGTGGCTTGGTGGGCGTGGCAGGGGAAGAATACTGTAAAATCTCCATTCCCTCCCCACTCCTGTGAGAAGGATACTGCAATATCTCATTCCCTCCCCTCCCCACCCCACTAACCTGCTTTCCAGCCCCGTTCTCCTGTGCAGGGCAACAAAAGAAGACCCAGCCAATCAGCTGGGACTTGGGAGGCAGAGAAGAGATGGGGGCGGGGCCAGTCAGAGGTGGTATCTGCCGGTTCTCCAAACTACTCAAAATTTCTGCTACCAGTTTTCCAGAACTGGTCAGAACCTGCTGAATACCATCTCTGGTACCAAGGTACCACAGTAATATAATTGGTGAGTATCTCCTTAGGAACAGGTTGGTATTGAACACAGTTTTAAGCATAAGATTATTCATATGTGATATTCTATAATGCAGAAATGCATTGGGAATGTTTGTTTGTTAGTATTGACAGTCTCTGTATTTTTTTTTTCATGAGGGTGATTCCATATGCTGCAAATTGAGGACCCAAATGATTTGCCATGAATGTTAGATTGGTTATGTGATACAACAAAGATTATGGATCTGACAATTACAGCATTAAAGACAAAATGATAATGTGTGGCAGAGGAGTTGGAGTGAGCAATTGCCATCGCATTTGTTGTTAACACTGGTGAAACATTAGAGCAAGCAGATGGATTTGTGTGCCTTTCTAGCATGTTTGCCTAAGAGAAAGGGGAAATGGGCATAGTAATTTAAAGATATGTAAATGCTGACAGAAAGGTAGATGTGTGCGATCTGTTGCTAGGCTTAAATGTTGTTGAAAGAAGCTAAAATGGCTGGGTATATACATTGAGCTGATAAATGTCTCAGACAAAATCTTTTTTTTAAAAATAGTTCCAGTGTTTGTCAATCTTGATAACATTAAGCTGTGTGGATTTCAACTCCTAGAATTCTCCAGCTGGCTGGGGAATTCTGGGAGTTGAAGTCCACACAGCTTAAAGTTGCCAAGTTGAGAAACACAGATGAGCATTAGATTTGATACCTCAGGGACTGTTCTTAGGAGCCATAATTGGTAAGAATGGAACTTCCATGCCCATAGGCAATATGTGTACGTATGTGTATGAATGTATTTCCCACTTTTATTACTTTACAAATAGCTCAAGGAGGTGAACATAACCGACTCACTTTCCTCCTAATTTCCCCCACAACAGCAACAACAACCCTGGGAGGTGAATTGGGCTCAGAATGATTGGCCCAAAGTCACCCAGATGGCTTTCATGACTAAGGCGGGCCTTGAACTCACCCTCTCCTGCTTTCTAGCCTGGTTTCTTAACCACTAGACCAAAGTGCCTCTATATACCTCTGAATTCCACGTGCTGATCAGACAGTGAGCCAAGACATACCAACATCTGATACAGTTGGTAGAATTCCTCCCTGACTTATGAGTTTCCACTGTGAGACAGGATGAGTTGATTTTGGCATTGTGTCAAAGTTCCACAAACAACTTTTTTTCCTGTACTGGGCTGAGGTAATAGCCTCCCTAAGGCTAGTCATGGAGACATCTGGATTGGCAAGGCTCAGAAGTTTTTGTGGAGTCACTCGTAACTTTGAGGTAGCTAAGATTTAGTTCCTGTTAAAAGTTTTCTTCTATTCTAAAAACTGAAATAAATAATAATAAATAAGAGATAAGAGATAAATCTGTGTGATATTCTAGTTCATTCTAGCTCATCCATTTAAAAATGTGCTGAGAAGCTTTTGAGGAGTGACCCTGGACACACAATTCACACGAACGAGACATGTAGTTTGGTTGTTTGCAAATGAATCACCACATGGCAATTTCACAAACTTTTATACATTCTCTTGTTATCTGAGTGCAGCCATCGTATTGCCCCAGTTAAAAGTTCAAAGCAGAACTAAATGGCGGAAGAAAATATATAAAGGCAACTTACAATTCCTTCTAGGGGTAACTGCCTATCCTGAATACTATATAAGTAGTCCTCAACTTACGTCCACAACTGAGCCCAAAATTATTAAGTGAGAAATTTGTTAAGTGAGTTTTACAACTTTACTCACCACATTTGTTAAGTGAATCACTGCAGTTGTTAAATTAGTAACACATTTGTTAGGTGATCCTAGTTTCCCCATTGTCTTTGCTTGTCAGGAGGTTGCAAAAGGAGATCACATGACTCTAGGACACTGCAACCATTATAAATGTGAGTCAATTGTCAAGCATCTGAATGTAAATCATGTGATTATAGGGATGCTACAATGGTCATAAGTGTGAAAAATGTTATAGTTCACTTTTTTCAGTGCCCTTGTAACTTCGAACAGTCCCTCAATGAACTGTTGTAAGTTGAGGACTACCTGTACTGTAGTTGGATGTCCTGGGTCAAGTTAATGAGGCTGGACTAAATGACCTTTATTGTCAGGTGGAGCTCCATTCAAAATTCAAGAAAGAAATACTTAGGCTCTTTTGATTAGAGAAAAGATATCTTTTACTGAAATTGAAGTGGTAGCAACCATAGAATTCTTAATCTGGGAAATTAGGCGCGCAAATCACATATACAAAGTGATGGAAATGTTCCCACCCCCAATAGTTCAAATGATTCTTCCAATTAAAAGTTGTGGATATGATCATGTGGACATCTTCAGGTGGTGATGAGGCCTCTGTCTGTTGACCTTGGCATATTTTGATAAAAGTTTGCAGTTGCGCAGAGAAAAGAAAGCTAAGCAAGAATTTATATTCCCCGCTCCTCATTTTACACAACACTAGAATGTAACACCTCCAGCTCACTTCCCAGACTTTACCCCCTCCTCCCCCTGTTACTTATGGCAGCCAAAAGATGCAAAGCAGTAGTAGAAGATCTTTAAGGCTGACATTTATAATCATCCTATATTCTCCAAAACCACAGCCACTTTCTATAAATTACCCCAGCTGACTTTTTCTGCAGTCTTTTTCGTGGGCAAAATTTCAGGGCCATAGAAATGTCACCAAAGGAGTGAAAATGTTAGTTCTTTTATTTATTTATTTATTTTATTTTATTTATTTGTAAAACAAGTATTAGACAACAGGTATAAGTATAAACATGATTATGAATACATGAAACAGATATGAATAAAAAGGAACATTAGGACAGGGATGGTAGGCCCGTTGGTATGCTTATGCACGCCCCCTACAGACCTCTTAGGAAAGGGGTGAGGTCAACAGTAGACAGTCTAAGTTTAAAGTTTTGGGGGTTTGGGGAAGAAACCAGAGTCAGGTAGTGTATTCCAGACATTGACCACTCTGTTGCTGATGTCGTATCTCCTGCAATCAAATTTGGTGCAGTTTACCTTGCATTTGTATCTGTTATGTGCTCTTGTATTGTTGTGGTTGAAGCTGAAGTAGTCATTGACGGGTAGGACATTACAATAGATAATTTTATGTATTACGCTTAGGTTGGACCGAAGCAGGCGTAGTTCTAGGTTGTGTAAGCCTAAAATTTCAAGTCTGGTGGCATAA